AATAGGTATAATACGTTCCAACCTTACACAGTAGCAGAGGACAATTGGCTACTTCCCATTACAATATGATTCCTGTATCCATCCATAAAATATTGTTTTTGAAAGCACATATCAGCAATCACTATTAGTTTGAATGTCCCTGGTACAATACAGAAGAGTGAAAGAAATCATTTAGCTGTTACATTCTTTTCTAGATGTTATTGTACAATAAGTCAAGACTGAAAAGTGGTGACATTTCCAGGAACTGCCTCTGGAAATCAGGGACATTTGACAACTATGTGTGCAATAAACTATAACTCTGTGTGGCCATTCATCTCTAGCAAATTGTTTTGTATTCACTAAAAAAAACCCTATACAGTATACGACCTTCTTAATCTGAAGGCCATATATCCAGCATTTGTAAAAACTGCAAACCCATTCAGTCAAAAAACTAATATCGATGTTCAGTCAAAGTAACTGATTACTTTTTAAATGATAACAGCTCTTTTAGGAGAAACATCATTTTTTCAATGTAGTGATCTTCCACCGTGAACATAGTATAGTACCCTTATTGTTTTACATTGTGACATTAGCAATTTTTGCAGTGGGATTTATTGTTGCTTTTGGCCGATTAAGTTGTCACCAGGATTAAAGTTCCAAGTTGTGTGGCTGGCCTTACATTTGATTTGCTTTTGCACGTAATGTGATAGGTTACATTACTAGATGTCAGGTCTCCCAGCAATTTATGTACACATGCTTGTTCCAGGTCAGTGACCCACCAAGAAGTCAAAAAGGGATAAGGATGGCATGTTTGTTTCATGCATTTTAAACAGGGCAAACAAGTCTACAATTACCGTGTCAGTATTTATTTCCCATGCAAGTAGGCTTTATATTAACTGTAGAAGGTAAAGTTTAACATATTTGGTTCAGAATCCATGACAGGTATAGTGCAGGAAGTTCTCAAAGTGAACGTAACATGACAAGAAAACCTCAACAGTGAGCAATTAGAGTGTGTGTGAGAGTAGTGCCACAAAAATACCAGAAGAAGCTTTACCTAAGAGTTTGCTTTATTGTTGAGAATATAACCCAAACCAACATGTTTTAGGGGTCTGCAGGTACCCCTTCATCAGGGCTTACTACATTTCAGCTGGTAAATTTAGGGTTATAATGCTGTACAGGGCTCTGCCAATGAGACCAATTTGTACTGTGAGTGAACAGCAGATCTGATTATAGATACATAGGATTGGAGAAAGTGGAGCTAGAAGTAATGGTTAGCCTTACTTATTGGTTTTACAAGAACTGTTTGTATTGCTCCATGGCATCCAAACTTTAGCTAGTTGTGAACACTGGACATACTACACACCCAGAAAAACCTAATTGAAGTACACGGTACACAGGGCGTGTGTAGTACATCCTGTCCATCTGCTCTGCTGCTCCCCCCCCCCCTCACACCCGTCTAATTCCCCATTCACACCTAGGCAATTTGTCGCTTAAAGCTAAGCACAACAAACAGGAATCCCATTCGCTTGCCTTGATCGTGACAAAATGCTCAGGGCAAGGAATCCTATTAATTTCTATGTCCCTTGCAATCAGAAATATACCTGCCACTGGAAAAAGTCCATGAGCTACTTTTTGGCAGATCAGTCCCATAGACTTCAATGGGAAACTTTGTGCGACAAAACACACAACAAAATGCTAAGTTGTGAACAGGGGCCATAGAAATGAATGTTTTTTTTGAGCATTTTCTTATCCGTAGACAAAACACCTAGGTGTTAATAGAGCCTAAATGAGAGTTGGGGGTTGCTCTGTAAATACAGTAGCTGTAATAGCTGATGCTGTTAAATACTGACCATCTGACACAATGCTTATTATATTGTTACCTTTTGTAAAGACAAAAACACAAAAGAAGAGCTCTGAAAAAGAGGGATTTCCCCTGAAACGTGTCAGCCCTGCAGCTTTTTCCTGTGTGTTTACATATACATCGCTCTTTTCCACTTTGTACACGTGAGTAGTTTTATCACTTCTCAATTTTGGATTGTAAATAAATGTTATTACACGAAGAGGAGGTGCTATCTTCAGTGTTTTTGTCTTTGCATTATTTATGAGGATTAGTGATGGGCCGAATAGGCCCGAGATTGGTTCAAATTCTAACTTTAGAACATCCAAAAAGTTTGAATTCGAACTCGAACTCAATGCAAGTCTAAGGGGGTAGAACTTTCAAAAACAATTGTCCCCTTCAAGAGGGCGTATATGCAAGTTATTGGCCATAAAAGGTGTATGGGGGTCCGGGTACTTCCCTGGGGGACAGGAATCAATGAAAAAAACTTTTAAAACATTCAGTTTTTAAAGCAACAGTGATTTTAACATCAATTAAAGGATAACAAAACAATAAAAAAAATCCTTTAAATATCTTGCCTGCGGGATCCCCTTAAACTGCCTGTAAAGTGATACATCTGTACAATGTATAGAACCTGCTGCAGCAAAAATTACATTTATAAAGAAAAAATGACAGTTAAAAAGAAAAAAAGCGTGCAGTTCCTCCTCCCAAACAATATCAGGCCCTTTAGGTCTGGTAGGAATGTTAGGAGGGACCCCATTAAAAAAAAAAAGAAAAAAAAAGCGTGGGGTTCCCCCCAAAAGTCATACCAGATCCTAAGGTCTGGTAGGAATTTTAGGAGGGACCCCATATAAAAAAAAGTGTGTATGGTTCCCCCTCAAAGTCATACCAGGCCCTTAAGATCTGGCAGGAATTTTAAGGAGGAACCCCACCCCCAAAAATGGTGGGAAAACATGTGGTCCACCCTTAAATTCCATACCAGACCCTTGATTCAAACACAGGCCTGGCAGGGCAGGGAGTGTAGGGGGAGGAGTGAACGACCCTCCCCTCCTTGCGATACCAGACTACATGCCCTTGGCACGGGGAGGGTGCTTTTCCCGAAGAACACACGAACTGGCGATACATCCCAATTAGCCTTGTGTACGGCAACCTCTCCTAAAGTTTCCTGCTTTGAAGACTGCTGATGAGAGTACAGCCTAGGTCCGCGGAGCGCTGGGAGTAAGACTTTTTTTCTGATTGTTACTTTTGTATCCACTCTGTTACATTTATCTGCAGATCAAAAGGATGGGACTCCATCTGTAAATTATGTCAGTTAAAGTAACTTGACAAGTAAGACATATTTAATACTTTATAGAGTTTTTAATATGTAAACTTTTGAGTTTTAATACATTTTGGTATGTAATTTATTCTGTGTCACAAAAGCACAAAAAAAATGTATTTTTTTCCATTTGTAAATACCCTTGCGATGCTTTGTACCAGAATCTTAATTTAAGTGTTATTTTGAATAGGACAAATGATAGGGTAACATTTATGTTTTTTGTCTACAGAAACATTATTTTTAAAACTAACACTGAATAAGTCAGAAAATGAAAGTGTGTTTTTTTAGTTTTGTTATTTTTTTTGTCTATACATTGCATTAAAAATAAAATCATTTGTACAAGACAATACTAATACTGTGACGATAAGGGAAGAGGTTTGAGTCTATTAATATTAAATATATCTAGTTTAAAGCAAATGCAGCGTTTAATTTAGTTCAGTTGGCAGGTCTCCAAAAAACAGAGATCTACTAATCTGCTAATCTGGCCTGTGATCTTTATAATTAATAGTCCTTATTAACAAGTGAGAATCCAGAATCATCCTTTTAACCCTTTTTATGGCTGCCCCTAATTAAAGGCAAATAAGTGGAATGGCAGAGCAACCATCCATTAGCAGTTGACAGGTTTATATAAACACAAGCAGGGCCTGGTAGAGTTAATGACCCACGTGACCCGGCATCCACCTAAAAGTCATAAAACTGAGTTACAATATCAACTCAATTTCATAACTTGGAATTGGAGAGGGATATTGTAAAATTAACTGCACAAATAGCTGGGTCTCAACAAGACAAGAACACCCATTCCAAAAATAGATAGTTTATGATGGGCAACGGCCCGACAGGTGACATTTACCCTCCTGCCACCCCATCATTCATATCACTGGCAAGTTTGGTTTCAATCTAAAGCTAACTTCATAACACTTTATAATTTAGGGGTTGTCAGACCGTATTGGATATGAATAATCAATTATCCTCTGAGTTATGAATTTAACCGTTTGGGAGGAGCAGAGGAGGACACCGTGAAGGCTTATACTTCCTTCTCCCCTTCCCCTAGGAGCCGACTACGTGACACCCCCTAGAGGGTTTACTAAAAGATGCTGTAAATGTAAGTAATGACAACGTTATTGCAGAATCAGTAGGTTCATAGCAGAAATGTAAAAAATTGCTTCGGTCCTCAGGGGGTGGACATTTCAGAGAGCTGAAGTGGTTAATTATCCAACTGTCATTTTCTTCCCATGAATAAAATATGTTTCCCTGAGTTCCATCACAACATTTAAAGCTTAGGCAAAGATAATGTGATCTATAGCTACCTGGCGCATTGTGTATGTTTGACATCATTACAGACTGCAGAGTTTATTTCAATCAGAGAGACTTTGTCAGAGAGATAAGAGGATCAGCAGAGTGCAGACAGAGCCTGGATATATAGACGCAAATGTGGCTGCTCGCATGCACATATACAGTATATTAGAATCTATACATAGAAACCATGTTTAAGGGAAGAGATGGCAAGTGGTGACAGCACGGGACATCTTGCATCTCTGAGTTCAATTTCGCTGGCACAACTAAGCTCGCTGTCCCTATCCCACAGTATGGTTATGTAATTAATACGTTGACACTGATGGAAGAATGACTTTTAAACAAACTGAAACTTGTTATCTATCTTTTGCAGACAAAACCTGAAGTCCAAGTAGGGAAGGGGCATTTTAAGCGGACTGTTTTCCTAACTTCAATCACAGTTCACATTTAAAATGTTTCCAGATTTTTTGTAAAAAACACTCTTGGTTGGAGGGGTGTAATATTACATCACAGGTGGTGTATACTGCATAAAATATATTTTAGAAAAATTAAATTATTGGTTAGAAAAATTACCTGCAGGGTATTCACTCTTCAACTGGTTATAATGTAATTGATTTTTCTCATTAATATTATCAGAGCGACCTGTACACACAAAAAAGATAAGTAAGATATTACTGCAGTGAAAATTCTCAGTGCTAAGAACAGCAAACTGAAAATTAACAAATATATAATGTGTAAGCAGGCTAAATCCCCAGGTGCCGTCATACATTTTTGATACTGCATCACAAAATATCAATAATGCACAGTAGATTATACCTTCTAATTTTAAAGGAAAACTTATAGTCATGTGAAGAAGTAAGTATACTCCATAGAAACTGTTGACTTTTTAAAACACATTTGGACAGGAAAACATCAAATCTTTATTTAAAGGGTAATTCCATTTCTCACCAAATTTGAGAAAATGAAATTACCCCCACAAATCTGCCCCCTCCCTGCTGGTCATACCTCTGTATGAAGTGCCATTTCCCCTCCGCCGCAGCCAGTGTACCTTCCTACATCGTAACACAAAAATGCAGCCCTGCACTGAGCATTTTGAATTACACTCGCAAATGGCGAGCACTCATTGGACAGTTTGGTCACCTGACCATGGTGACAAATGAGTAGGGACACAGACAGGCCATCTCTGTATTCCCATGGGTCATTGACAGGCCTGCCAGAGGAGGCAGTTCTACAATAGTAGTAGGCAAAAGGCTACATTCACAAAGATACAACGCTGGGGTACTTACAGTATGTTGGCTATGTTACCGTAGTTTCCAGATATTTTTGGACATTTTTCAAAGATCCTAATTCTGATGTGTTATCTGTGTAAACTGAGCCTAAAGTGTTTTGTGACCACGTGTCTGAGGCACATCTGGAATAATATGTGTTTCTTTGCAGTCTTATACATAATGTATAGTACGTTAGGATACAACCGGGGAGATATTTATTGGCCAAAAGCAGAAAAATAGAAACAAAATAACTTTCTGTAAAAATGGTGAACTTTAGAGCTCTGAGACTTTAAATCACACATAGTACATTATAGCTCTGTTCTCCTAGCTCTCTTACTATCATGCTAGTCTTCTTCTTTAGTACCTTTTCTAGTAACCTACAGACCCTAAAACACTCTAACATCTAAGCTGTCTGCATTGAACAACAGATGCCACCTTCAGCCACTGAAAAGGCAGGAGTAGTGCAAAATATTACATAGTGGCATCTACAACAATCTAGCTAAAGCCTGCCATGGACAGGAGAAAAAAGAATAATAACAGATGTAGTAAATCACTTCAATGCAATGCATTATTGAGGATGATTACTGAAAAAAGAGGGGACTGTCAGTTGTTTATGCAGACAGTTTTTCAATAGTGGAATAAAACACACAAGATGGTTTATAACTGAATATAAAAAGCGTTTATCAAAGCCTGAGGCTCAGGAATATCAAGTGCGGCAGTTACAATAAAGTACAGATCTTGTACATTTGTAAGCAACAATACTTTCTCAGTATAAAGGATAATGGAGCAAAATCCTTAATGCTGATTAGCACAAGGCTGCAATTTTCCAGTAAACATGTCCTGCCATCTCACTATATTTGGCGACTCACAGCAGTTCCTCCCTATGTTCTTTTGCACCTTTTGAGATTGAGCAAGAAATGAAATGTCTGAGGTCGGGGAATTGATATGATTCAAATTCTACCACAATTGTTAAATCAATCTTCTCTTGAGCTCCGTGCACACTGCAATTACACTGCATTACACACTTTAAGCATGACAGTTGGAGTAGGGAGAAGAGGCATTCAAATCACTATTGTAATTTTGGAACAATGGAATGGAGAATCTCTGAAAGATAAATCACGGCAACTGGACTTGCTGTATTTTTCTTGAAGACATTTCGCTGGTCATCCGACTCGCTTTCTCAATTCAGATTTCTGAATTGAGAAAGCGAGTCGAATGACCAGTGAAACATCTTTAAGTGAAATACAGCAAGTCCAGTTACCTTGATTTGTCTTTTACAGATATACCATAACCTGGATGAAAGAGAACCTTCACAGACATTGGAATGGAGAGTTCAGATAAGTGCTGCATCATTTCAAGTTGGGTATTGCAGACCAAAAAAAAAACTCAATTAAACAATAAATGCATTAGCAATGTTGAAGTACATTTACCCTGCATGTTAAATTAACATTGCCCCTCAACACTGCTGAGTTGTAAAGATGATGGGGAGTAGAAAATAATAATGACAAGGACTCTGGGGAGCACTGGGATGCATTTAGTTCTGCATACAAGAAAACTCTGGTTAATATAGGATGCTGCAATGCTTATTTATGAAAGAGTTTATCTGATAATATAAATATTCCTGACTGGCTTGTGGACAGGGCCCAGAAACAGAGGGGAGGCTAGTATTACTAGCATGGAGGAACGTAACAGACATTACCCCAACATGAAATCAACACATGAACCAATAAAAATTCCTAAATCTCTATCTCGTACCAACCAACCAACCCATTCTGAGTTAACTCTTGAAAGTGGTCAATTAATTTGCTCATCCCTGTATTCAATTTTTTGTACTGTCTTTGTGAGCAGCTTTCATTGCGTTGCTTTTTGGGAATTGTTTTATTATCTGATTAGCTATCCCTATTCCTACCAACAAGTAGGCTGATGATACATTTACAATACAATATGCCCCCAGTAAATAATTGTACGTTTTTTGCTTGGCATCTGAAGACAGTCAGGACACAGGAAACAACCATGATGCATAAACTGTAATACCCCAAATCTAGCAAGAACTAACTATAATACCCTATTTTGTGCCACCTAGTATTCCTCACATAATGCCACTAACTAAAACAAAGGCAAGCCACATCAGTTTCCAAATATATTTGGCAAAAAGAGAAAGTAAGCCAAATCAGGCTGGAGGGGTTAGGGGTTACCATAGCCATCAATCAGCATTACAATGTGCTTAGTTAAGATAATATCCATTTTCCCACTATAATTACAATGTAAAATGAAAACTAATTAGCGTTATTGTCTTATTAATGCTTTATGGATATTAAAGCTGCAATTAAAACACATGATCTTTTTAGACATTTACATCTCAATATTTCTTTTTTAAAGTCAAGTGATCTTTTTAGACATTTAATTGTACTAAACATTTAAAGTGATCTAAATGACATGTTTTGCTCAAGGCATTTGTGCTTTGAGTAAAATACTCCCTAACCAGTTGGATTTTCTTTTATTGGTTAATTTCATGATGTACATCAGATCCTCCAGAATACCTGCTTGTACAGAAAATGTGCTGCAATAACATTAAACGTTACAGTATATTTGGGCTTTTAGCCTCTGAAATCTGAACAGCGGGCACATTTTGCTGTCATTGGACATAGGTATAAGCATGAATAATTTGGAAATTGAGCCAGCAAGCCCCAAAGGTAAACACTCTACAGTCTTAGAAGAACATTAATGCATATTATCCATGACATTTAAGGAGGTGAATATTTGTGGTTTAGAATATATGAGGTTTAACCACTTCTTATATGAGAATAAAATGATGAGCTAGTAGGGATACTGACATTTCACAAATCTATAAAAAAAAAAGCTTCCTGGAAATTTGATACAAAGTCTTGTTATACTAAAGGTGCACATCAGTTAAAATGGAAAATAAAACCTTATTATACTTATAGGGAGCATAGCCAATTTGTTCAATACTACTACTCCCTTTAGTGGGTCTGGGAACTCACTGCTGCCACTCACATACACCAAGCACTGTATACAAAAGTGTAAAACAAAAGGCTAGTTCTAAGAAGTTTTTCACAGCCATCAAACAGATTCAAACCTGCCTTAGAAGTTTGAATGTCATTTGTAAAGTAGGAAGCACATAAAAAGGAAGTTATACTGCAGAAGGTACACTGCTACTGTGCTCCTGTTCACACCATATAAATTGACGTGTGTTAATCTGCAAAGTTCAACGCAGGTTCAAAGCTAGGGTCCATAGACAATAATTATTTTCTATGTGCCCTGTTCACGTCCCAATGCTGCGTTGAAGTAGGTTGCGGCGTGTTACATGAAAATGAAGATATGCTGCATTTTTTTGCAATGCATTGCACTGTACCTCATGTCATTGCATCTTATCACACTGCACCTCAGCTCATGTCACTGCATCTCACTGCATTGCACCTCATCTCTCCTCGTGTGACTGTATATCACTGCACCTCATCTCACCGCATCTCACTGTACTGCACTGCACCTCATTTCACCACATATCACCGCACTGCCCTCATATCAGTGCATCTCACTGCACCTAACCTCACCTTACGTCACTGCACTGCACCTAATTTCACCCCCTTTTACAACATCTCACCGCACTGCACCTTACCTCATGTCATTGCATCTAATCAATCTGCACCTCATCTCACCGAAACTCACCACACTGCACCTCATCTCATGAAACCGTGCCTTGTGTTGTAAGGATGCAAGCAGGGCCATCCCTATAATAAAGCAGCCAGAGGTGGTTGCCATCAAGCTGGGGGTGGGGGTTGTCAGATGTGTTGTTGTGCTCTTAGCAACCTGTGTCCAACCAGTGATGTCAATGAGCTGGGTGGGATGCCAGACACTACGACCCCCTCCCATAACGTGCATCAGCAGCACACTCTCTATCTTTTCTTGCCCATCTTCAGGCGGCATCTCATTAGTCACGCTGGGTAGGGGGTGTAAGGTGTACTGTTGAGCTCTTAGCAAACTGAGATTCTCTGGACGGTGTCCAACCAGTGACGTCAGTGAGCTGTGTGGGATACCAGACACCGCCCCCCCCCCAAAAAAAACGTGCATTAGCAGCACCCCCTCCATCCCCCTTCCTTCCCCAGGCCTCAGGTGGCAAAAAGTCTAGGGACACCCCTGAATGCAAGGCACCAACCCCCACTTACCCATACAATGCACACCAGTCCGCATGCTTAAAATAGCCCACTTTTGTGTGCGGGCTAGTGTGAACAAGCCCTGAGATGGTCTGTAAAATCTTGCTGCCGTTGTTTACAGAGAACTCAGTTGAAGGTAAACTAAGTAAATAGTTTATGTTTAGCTCATTTAATGGGTTTAGCATTAGCTGTTCACTGTTCACTGATCACTTAAGCCTGTGCCTGAAAGTGCTTTTTAAAATTTCAGGCATACTGCCCATGTAGCCTGTGTAACCAGATGGCCTTTTTGGGTTACCATCAGAGTTGTAATATGCTTGTTTTCTTAAAACTGTCAATTTACAAACATAAATATCACAATATTTTGTACATGAAATAGCTGTTTAACTAATGAAGTCCTCTATGAACAAGTGGCAGCGATACTGGTGTAGAAAGGAGGGGTTTGGGCTTTTAGAGAATTGGGCTGACTTTTCAGTCAGCTACCGGCTTTATAGCAGGGACGGACTGCACCTAAATGGGGAGGGTGCAGCTCTGCTGGAAGAGAAGATGATAAAAAGATTAGAGGGCCTTTTAAACTAGATTCTGGGGGAAGGGATAGAATAATAATAAGCCAGGCAACAAAATGAGATTAGACTCGATAACCAATATAGTTGAGGGGGATTAGAAGAAATTCTGGTGACCTCATTAGAAAACATGAAATCTGTAGTACTAAAATTAAACGCACAAGATTTGGACGCACGCAGCAGTAACCAGACTGGGAGCAACAATAAAATTGTGAGTAAAAGTAAAAACTTGAAATGCATGTTCACAAATGCTTGATGCCTGGCAAACAAATTAGAAGAATTAGAATTCCTACTACAAAGCGAGGAATATGACATAGTGGGAATATCAGAAACCTGGCTAGATGGCTCGCATGACTGGGCAGCAACTATCAGGGGATATTTATTATTCAAAAGGGATAGGGAAGGAAGAAGAGGGGAAGGAGTATGTCTGTATGTCAAGAATGACCTGGCAGTGAATGTGCAGGATGATACAGCACAAGAAAGAGGGGATAATGCGGATTTACTATGGAAATGATTGGGAAAAAAGAGAAATTACTCTTACTGGGGGTATGCTACAGGCCTCTGAACATTGGGGAGGAGGAGGAGACTCAACTATTGTCACAGATAGAAGTAGCGGGAAGGCAAGGTCATAATAATGGGGGGATTATCCAGATATAGATTGGGCAACAGAAACAGTTAACTCAAGAAGGACCCGTCACTTCTTGAACACTCTCCGAGATAACTTTATGGGACAATTGGTGGAAACCCCAACTAGGAAAAATGCTCTGCTGGATTCAATAATTACTAACAACTCAGATCTAATTGCAGATGTAGAAATGGGGGAGAACCTGGGGGGCAGTAACCATAGAATGATAACGTTCACTGTAAATTCCAGGAAACATAGACATGTTGGCACAACTCGAACACTCAGTTTTAGGAAGGCTAACTGAGAAACCTACTAGTAGACATAAACTGGGATGGAGAGAATAGCAAGTTAGCTTATTTCAAGAAGCAAAGTCAATTTAGATATTACACAATCTTCCTGAATATGAACACTGAAGAAAAATGGGACAGTTTCAAGGAAATCTTAAATAACAAAATTGGCCAGTCCTTACCGTTTACCAATAAATTCAAGAATGGGAAAGGTAAAAAAAACACATAAGGGAAAAGGACAAGGCCTTCCAAAAATATGTCAGAGGGGCCAGCATCAGGATTCAAAAACTACAAAAATTGAAACAAAAAAATGTAAAAGAGCAATCAGGACTGCAAAAATAGAATACGAAGAGCAGATAGCAGCAGAAAGCAAACAGAACCCCAATAAATTATTTAAATATATCAATAGCAAAAGGGTAAGCACAGAACAAGTAGGCCCAATAACAGACAAAGAGGGGAGATTAGCTACTAACGAAAAAAAGAAAGCAAATGCTTTAAACAAATTATTTCCTTATGTTTTTACAGATGAGACGGACATGGGTAGCAATCAGGGTAACAGCTGCAGGAACAATAATATAAGTTTTAAAGTATCTCAGTGGGTGTTGGAGAGCACAGTGGTACAGAGGCTAGAAATATTAAATGTAAACAAATCCCCGGGACCTGATGGGTTACATCTGAGGGTACTCAAAGAACTTAGCCAGGTCATAGGCAGACCACTGTACATAATCTTTATGGACACTCTAATGACTAGTACAGTACCGACTGATTGGCAGAAAGCAAATGTGGTACCAATATACAAAAAGGGGAAACAGAGTTCACCGGGTAACTAGTAAGGCCAGTCAGCTTAACGCCAATAGTGTGCAAAATATTTGAAGCCATGATAAGGGACTACATGCAGGAATTACCAAATAAAACTGGTATCATAAGTAGAAACCAACATGGCTACATGAAGGACCGTTCTTGTCAGAACTAATTTAGGTTTATGAGGAGGTCAGAACTAATTAAGACAGAGGAACACCAGTAGATGTGGTGTATCTGGACTTTGCTAATGCGTTCCATACAGTACCCCACAAACGTTTGATTCTCAAACTGAGGTCTATAGGTTTGGAGGAAACTGTTTGCACATGGGTGGAAAACTGGCTGCAAGAACGGACCCAGAGGATAGTAATAAATGGGTCATTCTCAAATTGGGCAAAAGTCGGGAGTGGGGTGCCCCAGGGGTCGGTCCTGGGACCAATCCTGTTTATCATAATAATCAACAACATAGAGCTTGAAGTAGTTGGTTCAATTTTCATTCTTGCTGATGGTACAAAACTGTGTACAGCAGTAAATTCTAAACAGGAGATATTTGCACTTCAACAAGACCTGGATAAAATTGAAGCAAGGGCTACACATTGGCATATTGTAAGCTTCTCTGCAACACAAGGCTTGGATCTCAACTGCGGGGATGCGTACGGTTTGATTAGTGGTCGGTCTCGGAGATACTCTCTCAATTGCTTAGAGATGTGTATGAGACCGGTAACATCATTTAAACCGTGGAAGGGAATGGTGGTAAGCAGGAAGTATAGCACACTGGCACGTATCACTTGTAATTGGACTATTGCCCCTAGGGGTGAGGGTCTGTACAGCACGTAATTGAAACGATACAGAGTTCTCCCTGGGGTGATGGTATACAGAGTATATCAATACAGCAATGGCGTAACTTATTTGTGAAAATTTGTCTCTTGCAGTACTATCACTTTACTCTATCATTATACACAGTATGCTTCAGTCCACAACAACCCTTTGAATAGTGCCCAGCAGGGTGCCACTAGGATACTTGTGGTTGGTGGTTATCTCAGCGGGAAAGTCCCTGAGGTTGTCCCATTGGTGAGGCGGTGAGTTCCTGTTCAGGGTGTTAGATAATCCAGGTGCTGGCTGGTGAGGATCTCCTTTGAGCAGTCCCAGTAGGCTGGTATCCGGAAATGGTGTGGAACCAGGTTCCAATATGGTCTGCGGTAGCAGGTTGAATGACCTGGTCCCTTGTGCGGTCTGCGATAACAGAAAGTGAATCGTCAGTGTTCACTGTTACCAACAGTAGGACGCCGACGGTTCGTTTGGCCGTGGCTTAAGGAGCCTGTTGCGCGTGCGCCGGGTGGAGGAGCTAACGAACGTCGTGCGGGTGCGCCAGAGGGAGGTGTTGCTGCTTGTTGTGCGCGTGCGCCAGAGGGAGCCACTGAGGTCCCCCGTACGGAACCGAGTAAGTCCCTTACACATATGCGATTTAATGTTGAAAAATGGTGCACATGGGTGCAAAGAAAGAATGCGCAAACTACTATCTGGGGGTACTGCATTAGGGAAGACTGACATGGAAAGAGACTTGGGGGTGCTCAAAGATCACATATTTGGCAATGGCATGCAATACCAAGCAGCGGCCAGCAAAGCAAACAGGATACTGTCCTGCATTAAATTAAACTTATTCTCCTTAGAAAGGAAGCGATTAAGGGGGTACCTTATTGCAGTCTTCGAAACCATCAATGGGGACAACAATACAAGTTGTTTCCACTGAGAACAGTGCTGAAAACATGTGGACATAATAAAAGGTTAGAAAGCACATGTTTTTTTTTTTTTACTGTGCGATTAGTAAAAATGTGGAAATTCCCTTCCACAGGCAGTGGTATCTGCTGATAGCATTATTATTCAATATTTCAAGAAACTTCTAGATGAGTTTTTCAGTCACTAAGGGGTCTATTCACTATGCTGCCGAGGGCAGCCGAGTGTCGGCCAGCTTCGGCTTTCTGCACGGCTCAGCCGAGCCGATGCATATGCGATCGGCTCCACTGAGTCGCTCGGCCATGATCGGGAGCTGTACGGGCTATTGTGAATAGCCCGTACAGCACCCCCTCGGTTCTACTGAACCGAAGGGGTCCTGGGGCCGAAGCTAGCTGAAGGATCGGCCGAAGCTACAGCCAGATCCCTCGGCAGCTTCGTGAATAGACCCCTAAATATACAAGGATATGGGAAGTGTTAAATACACATAAATACAGACACACATATACACACACACACACATACACATAAGTTGAACTGGATAGACCTTGGTTTTTATTCAACCTCACCTACT